CAACAAAAATATGGGAAATACCAAAAGAAAGCAGTAAATTCTAGATCAAAAAAAGATATTTATACAAAAATCATCGCGCCATTTGGCACACGGCATTTGGGTCATAAAGGTTTTGGCATCGCGGTAATGTATGCACTTGCATTAATTTTTAAAATGACCTTTTATTTAATAAAATATACCTTAAATGACATTATTAATTTTTTATTAACACAAAGTATACTCAATGATCAATTTAAAAAAAAATTACACAAATATCTTGTAAAATATATTTTTATTTTTCTTATCAAACTCTGGTATTCATCAAAATCGTGGTAATACCCACATTTACCCTACATAATATGGTTGGTTGTCATTGTCCCCACTGGCCATTTGTCATAATTTTCGTCAACTACCGCACCCTGTTCTAGTAAAAATGTAGTGACTTTATATTGTTAAAATTAAATTACCATAAAGTTATTAAATTTTTACTAGAGCAGATTCATTTTTTATTTCTCATTCCATTGATAAATATTTTTTAATACGTTATCAATTAATAATTTCCTGACAATATCTTAATTGTTAGATGACATTTATAAACAGACAGGGTTGGGAAGCAAGAGCACGAAAGCAAGGTTGGATAGGATTGAAATTTTGTCCATTTGTCATAATTCACGTCAACTACATACCGCACCCTGCTCTAGTAAGTAAATAAATTATTCTAAAAAATACCTCGTAAAATTAAATTAAAAAATAAAATTATATCTCCGATTCAAAAATTCAGTCTCGGCTAGATTTTGATTTAATTTTCCAATTGTAGACTTAAATGTATATATCATAATGCATGGAAAATTCTGATAAGTTGACTATAAAATTTCGTTCAAAATAGAATGATTAACACACACTACGAAGAAAGCAAGAGAGGATAAAATTAAAGTTTTTGTCTTCATAATTGACATAACCGAAAATGGGTCCGTTGCTTCTTTTTCATTCTATTATTCGGAGGACGTCTTAAATCTTCCGCGTCTTTCTATATATATATATATATATATATATATATAGTATCGATGCTATTGTGGATTATAATAGGAACACATATAAGACAGTTGGATCGCGTTCTAGTAAAAAAAAAAGAAAAAAAAGAGCAGGCGCAGCTCGTGCCGAAAGGAAATCCAACAACAAAGAAAGCGCTTATATTCGAAGCGTAAAACCTCTCTTCTCAAAAGATGTCACTTATTAATTCTTTCAATTCTCTCGGAGGCAACAAAATGAATAGCGGGAGCTATAAGTTGAAACCCGCCCCCGGGGTTTGATGAGACAGAAGGTGAGAGAAATATATGTATAAGGATCATAGACACTACGGGGAAAAAGGTCAAAGGATTCCTGCTACCTGAGTCGATAGATCGTAGCCCTTTTCAGCAATGGAGGCGCGCAAACGATTAATAATCGTTTTTTCTGGACCATATATGCGCTCATATGCGTCGGCAAGAAAACCACAAAATTAAAAAAAAAAAAAAAAACCACCTTCCATATGTCCCAAGAATTTTGGGGTCGTCAAATTCGATACAAAATGAGCCCGTAGGGTTTGCACCAAAGCTCCCCTGCTGATTTTACCAAATGATTTTAAGAGGGCGGAGCAGAAGAGAATATTGCTCAAAATTTGACCCTATATGTATGATTCGATACCAGATCATATGGTGAATACAACCTGCGTATATACTCTCGAATTACGATCTGTTAATAGTTTTTACGAGATACTGGTTTCTATATCAGAAAGAACCATCTCAAGTTTCTTCTTGTTGCTTAAGACGTCATGTTTTACACAATTGCTATTCATTCAAACAGTAATTGATGAACTGACGACAAGTTATACAAAACCACTTTGATTTTGTACACACAGCGTATACAATTTCAAGACATTCACTTTTTATAAACGTGGGCTGAACGACTTCATTTATGTAAATGAAGATATTCCAAGATTATTAATTCACAAAAGAGCATCGTGTCTCTTTTTTTTTTGGCAAATTCGTAAAAAAATTTATCATCCCAAAAAAAAACACCTAATTGAAATATAAAATGACAATATTTTTTGTCATTTTTAATACCTCAATTAATAGTCTCAAAAAAAAAAAAAATGAGCTAATATAACAAATTGAAGGAGAGGTGAAAGAATGTGGGAGAATAATACGATTGGTATATAGGACCCTGAAGAATATGAAGGATAGCGAGAAAAGAGGAGATGATGAAGAAGAAGAAGAAGAAGAGGTGCGGTGGGTGCGGGTCGCCATTAAGCGGACCCCCTGCCGTGTGGCCCGCGGCAACCCTTCACAAAAAACTGTAATTGGAAATACTTTTCCATCCTTTTTTCCTAAAATAATTTATGAATCTCTACCCGGGTCCGCGGGGCTGAGTCCCAATATATATATATATAGGACTCACATCATCGTCGTCGGCGGCTTCTACTCTCCTTCACCTGGCACAGATAACCTGAGGGGGATGAGTGTTTTTTGAATAACGAACCAAACACAGGGATGACGTTCCTCGTGTGTTGCAAAAATGAAACGATTTGAAACTCGAAAAAAATACTCCTGCTGAGAGCAAGGGCACTTTGAATCTATATATATTTTAAAAGTAAACGGTAGGGACCCGGATGCCGTTATCAATTTGCGTGATTCTCAGGATTTATAATGAAGACGCAATGAGTATGGCTTCCCATCCTGACTGCTGGGGTTTTTCGCTCGTGCTCCAGACGATCATCAACGACCCCCCCGCAGCCAATCGACGAGAATTTGTTGTAATTATAACTCCGCCACCCAGGATGCTGATGATCATGTCGATATATATATACCCGCCTATATGTATCAATATTAGGTTTCATAAACACCTTCACTTACAAATTATACCATTTATAATTTAACCCCAAAAAAAAAAAGATGAAATTTCTTCAAATCCACTTTATGGCATACATAAACATTCTGTCAACCTTTTTTTTTTTATTTCACGCATCTGATATCATTCAAAATTTTACTGCTGAAAATAACAAGTAAGATATATTGCCAACTCTTCCAATGTATCAGAGAGAAAGAGAGATTATAAAGCTTCGCAGAGTCATCTTCAGTGGAAAATTTGTTCCCTTCGTGTTTTACGTGCCACGATTACAGTATATATCCTGGACAACTGATTTTTACTTTCCTCTTCTGAAAAGTTGGTACAAAAGAGTGTAGAGAAGTATTATTCGCCTTCGATATACACCTCGAGGGTATATAACCGACGACAGATTCCGGCGCCCCCTTTACGATCGACTTAACAGCCGGTTAAATTACGGCCGGCCCGTACTACTGACCCCTTCTGACCTTTCGATGACCCTTTTCTCTATATATACATATACCTTTCGCCTGTTCTCTTCATGGTTCGAAACCCGATACCATGATGCAAAAACGTAAACTGTAACCAGGTCCCCGCACATATGTTCTCGCGAAAACACTATTATTGTTTAACTCATGATTTTTAAAATCGTGTCTTTAAGTTGTCGAAAATGGTTGTTAAAAGTTTGTCTCTTGATTTTATTGGAAACTTATAATACGTTGAGTGCATTAAAAAGAATCATGGTCATCATCTACGTCACAAAAAACAAGGGTTTTACGTCAAGGGATGTACATAAATAATAATGATTAGTATATTGTTAAACGTAAATTCATTCGGTGATTTTAAATTGCGTGCGTGGTTTTTCAGGTATGATATCCCTTTTTGTTCGAATTGCGTCCCAATCTGTATATGCGGCTGTGTTTATTTTTTATGTTATCTAAACTCCAAACTTTTACTTGATAATTTAATGCAGCAAATCTTTCTAAATTTGAATCAGTCATATTTTACTGATTAGCAGTACAAATCTACTAATTGCCATAGCGAGAATCGAACAACTGACAATTAGTAGAAATTTATTGATTCAATTAGTAAAATATCAATTACTGATTGAATCAGTAATATAAATATATGGCGGCGGCCACAAAATCTACTGATTTAATAGTTAATTTTAAAGGTTATATTATATACAAATTACTGATTCACATAAGTTATTTTCTATTGCGCTTGCATATTCACTAATTATATTAGTATAAATTTCAAAAAATAACTGAAACTTCAGTTAAAATGAAAAGTACTAATTGAATTAGTAAAATTTCTAATGATTCAGATTTAGAGAGATGATTTCTTTCTGCTGATTAAAGAATCCGTTAATGAAAAATTTTTAAGAAACTCGGATTTAAGAAATCGCGTTTGAGTATACCTCTATCGTCGAAACAAAAGGTATATAGAATCTTCTATTTGGTTTCAAATTAAAGTTTAATAGGATTTTCAAAAATTCAAATCTAAAGTAAACACAGAAAATTAAAAGGCGTTAAAATAAGCTGCAATGCTTATTATTTTAATCCAATTTTGCTTATTTTAATACCAAAATGGATTAACCCCTTCGCAGTCGAGGCCAAAACCTCATAAGTGGTCCCAAAATGTCAGTAAATTTTTGAATGACCAAAATTTGTGCAAATGTGTATACTATAGTATTTAAGGTCGCTGATTACGATTCCAAAGTCAGATTTTAAAAATTCAAAATGGCGGAGCCAATATGGCGGACGATTTTTTCAAAAAATGGCAAAAATGATTTAAAAATATTTAAAAATTGTTACTCGGGGGTTTTTGGGATCGCTGATTACGAATCTAAAGTCAGATTTCAAAAATTCAAAATAGCGGAGCCAATATGGCGTAGCAGCTTATTTTAATGCCTTTTAATTTTCTGTGTAGGTATTTTATTTTCAGGAATTGTAAGATTTCAAAAAGATTCCAGCACCTTTTGTTTTATTACTAGAGGTACTAAAACGCAATATTTTGAATCTGAGTTTCTTAAAAACTATATTAATGAAAACTTTTCACTAACGAATTTCTAATCAACAGACAAAAAACCTATCAGAGCTTTACCATTTGCAGCACAAAAATCAGCCTTTTTAATTTATATGAAAATTTTCTGTTTCAGATACATCACACACACTGTTCCGGTAGGCGCAAATCACAAGAAGAATCGTAAGTAATTTTTTTTTTTTTTTCATCAAATCAACTGTATTTTCTTCAATTTATTGTTATCAAAAATCTTAATTGATTGAGTTCGTGTTGTAACAAATTAACACGTATTCAAGTGCAGGTGGCATCATGCTGTGCGAGCGAGAGGTTAAATTTAAACTTCTTTTAAAATTGCGACATCGAATTGGTTGACCCTACATTGAACTGTAATTTAAATGCTAAATGACGACGAATAACCGGGACCCTAAAGTCTGATTTGGCAAAAAAAAAAAAAAAAAAACCCCGGCGCTGAACGTGTCAATTTAAAAAATTCCTCCTGACCCATTCTCTGACCCTTACGGATGACCCCTCTCTTTTCGGAGTATGATCGATGCTGCATTTTCGTCCTGTGGTTATATTAAAAGCAAAGGACCAAATTGTGGGTTTGGGATCCAAAGAGCGCGGGAGTAAAAATCGAATATTTTTTCGCACTAATAAATTTTTTTTTTTTAAATCCGATTAAAAAATTTGTTTCTCACTGTAAAAATTAAAAACAAGAAATAATCGAAATTTTTATTAAGAATTTTGAAGAAATTAGTTCCCTTCCCTGGAGAGTAGAGAACACCTATACTTGCTTCTTAGGATGAGTTTCATTTTATTATATTTTACGTGACATATTTCGGAATGGACGACTGTGGTCGTATATACATATTTTCGGTGGATCGTCGAGTCTGGGCATGTATCGCCGTGGGCTACATATTCATAACTAATAGATCGGCGAGCCCTGGGTGACAGAGCAATACGTCCTGCGCGATTCGATGTAACCCGCGAGGGGCAGGGTCGAGTCCGGATCATCGAGAGGTAAAGTTCGCTTTACACGAACCGAGCATTCCGGGAAGCACGTTCTCCCCCCCCCCGCCCCTACTAAACTTTTGCCATAAAACAAACAAACAAAATTATACCTGTTTAGTTTAATTTTATGGAGAATTTGTTCCAAATTTCAGCTCACTGGGTCAAAATGTTTGGCTTCTATGAGAAAATGTAGAATTTGTACCAAATTTCAGCTCATTGGGTCAAAATAGCATTTACGTAATATTAAAGATATAATTACAATTGATAACAAAAGCTAAAAAGGATTTAGGTTCTAAAGAGTATATAATATTCCAAAAAAGAATGAGAAATTTTATAATATCTAAATTCTATTTAGCACGATGATGTCCCTTTGTTGAGTTTGGCATACCCAGAGGCCCAAGTCCTCTCACTGTTGCAGTACACCTTAAGTCACATATAATAATTGGCTTCGTTGAAAATCGCACTCCGCGACGAATTCCTCTCCTCTCACTTTCTTTCTTTCCGCCTTCTCTCTCTCTCTCTTTCTCTCATGCTTTATATCCCTTTCTGCACCTCCTCTCTCACCAAGTCCCTCTCTTCCATTGAGACAGCCACGTGGGAACTCGAGGGTATTTTTACGTTTCGCCATTCATGTGGGGCACTATAACAGATTGTTTCTCAGAAAGAATGAGACATTGGAGTCTCTTGGTTTGGGACCAGCGGCTAATAATATGGAGAGAGAGAGCGTGGAGAATCGCCCTAAAAGTTCTATAAGTGGTTCGTTTTGTCTCCACAGTGTCTCTTGAGTCCCGACGGCCGTCTCGCATATAATATAGTTGAAAAAGCGTGGACAAATCGCCTTATCGTGACCATTGGATAATCAGTCCACAGTTATATGTATTATATATATATATATATATATATATATATATAACATCACATATTACATTATACAACTCAACTGACTGGTGAACGATCATTACCAACATTTGTCATTTCATATATTCACTCATGGAAAAATATTAATCAACTGTATTGAAATTTCAAAAATGAAAATATTAAGAATTATTATAAGGTTAAGTAATGCAGAGTTATCATCTGATTAGTAAAGCGAGAAGCGGATATAATAAATGTGTGAGCGTATGGTTTATATTAGAACCAATGAAAATAATGATTGATCGAGCAATTAAAAGCCGTTGTCATGTGGAGGCCCTCCCAACCATGGGGAGTCGATCGATACCACAATTGCTGGTAATGAGCCATTTTGAGTTTTCTGACAGATTTCTTACGCCTCCCCCCCCCCTCCCCAAACCTCAAAATTTGCATGATCACTGTTCCGATCGACAGCCGGCACGCCCTTCATCAAAAAAATTCTCAAATAACAAAAAGCGATTCTCACCGCAAGGGGTCGATTATGTAACCCTTCCACTTTCCACTTCCGCGTATTTCTCCTCATACTTTTCACTTTCTGCATCACACTTTGCATTTCTTACTTTTCTTTTTCATTTTCTATTTTCTATGTTCCACTTACCACTTTCTACTTCCTATTTTTATTCCCTTATAACACCTTCCATTTTCTACTTTCCACATTCCATTTTCTACTTTCCATATTCCATTTTCTACTTTCCACATTCCATTTTCTACTTTCCACATTCCATTTTCTACTTTCCATATTCCACCTCCTACTTTCCATTTTCTATTTACCATTTAAGACCTTCTACTTTCTGTTTTTCACGTTCCTTTTTCTACTTTACTTTCGTTACTTTCTACTTTCCATTTATAATCTTCTATTTTCTATTTTTCACTTTCCGTATTCCACCTCCCACTTTTCACATTCTACTTTCCACTTCCCATTTCCTACTTTCTATATCTCACTTACCACCTTCTATACTTTCTACTTTCCATATTCCACCTCCTACTTTTCGCTTTCGATTTCCCACTTACCACCTTCTACTTTCTAATTTTTAGTTCCCACATTACACTTTCCATTTTCTACTTTCTACTTCCCATTTTTCATTTCCCATATTCCACCTTCCACTTTCTGCTTCCAACTTCCTACTTTCTATTTTTAACTTACAACTTTCTGCTTCCCATATTTCACATCCCACTTATATAGATATGTGTATATATTAGCGGGAAAGTGGAATGTAAAATATGATAAGTAGAAAGTTATATGTTAAAAATAGAAAGCAGGAAATGGAAAGTAGAAAGTGAAAAGTGGATGGTGGAATATGGGAAGTGGAAAATAGGAAATAGAAAGTAGAAAATGGAAAGTGGAATGTAAAAAATAGGATGTGGAAGGTTATAGGTGGGAAATAGATAGTGGAAAGTAGGTGATGGAATATGGAAAGTGGAAAATAGGAAGTAGAAGGTGGTAAGTGAGATATACAAAGTAGAAAATGGGAAGTGGAATGTAGAAAGTGAAAATTGGGAGGTGGAATATGGAAAGTGAAAAATAGGATGTAGAAGATGGTATGTGGAAAGTGGAAAGTAGAAAGTAACGAATGTTAAGTAGAAAGTGGAGTTTGGGACGTAAAACACAGGAAGTAGAAGGTGTTAAATGAGACATAGAAAGTGGAAAGTAGAAGGTGGAATATGGAAAGTAGAAAGTAGAATGTGGTAAGTGAGATATGGTAAATGAAAAATGGGAAGTAGAAAGTAGAAAATGGAAAGTGTAATGTGGGAACTAAAAATTAGAAAGTAGAAGGTGGTAAGTGGGAAATAGAAAGTGAAAAGTAGGAGGTGGAATATGGAAAGTAGAAAGTAGAAGGTGGTAAGTGAGATATAGAAAGCAGAAAATGGGAAGTGGAAAGTAGAAAGTGAAAATTGGGAGGTGGAATATGGAAAGTGAAAAATAGGATATAGAAGATGGTAAGTGGAAAGTGGAAAGTAGAAAGTAACGAATGTTAAGTAGAAAGTGAACTTTGGGACGTAAAACACAGAAAGTATAAGGTGTTAAATGAGAAATAGAAAGTGGAAAGTAGAAGATGGAATATGGAAAGTAGAAATTTTACAGAATCGACCCCCAGAACATATTATACGAATAAAAATTAGAAGAAAAATATAAATTTCAGAAGCAATCAAATTCTGTAAAATGATTTTTCCGAAAATAAATGCAAATTTATACTTATAGGTCGATTTTCATATATGACATTGCTTGGTGTGTATATATATATATATATAGGGAAGGACCCCGAAGCGCAGCACGACACATTATTTCTGATATATCGGCGCTCGCAGCGTGCGCCGCACGGCGGAATATATCGGTAAGATTAATCGAGTCAAAAGCCCGCGTTGTTACAAAGTGCGCCGCCCGCCGCGACACAAACCCATGCATTACCGGAGGGCCGGCCGTGTTCCAAACGTTGGCTTGTCTCCAGGATACACCCACGCCAGGTATACGTCCACCAAGAGGAGCCGGCAGAGGTGGGTATATAGAAAGAGATTGCTTTATTGCGCGCCTCTTTCACTCGCTGCGAAGTCCCCAACGAAACTTACTGTACGCACATATACATATATATATATATATATATATATACAAGAGAAACGAAACAAACGCCAACGTGGCTGATCTCCACTAATCTCACCGCGATAAAAGACCCGGCAAACGTTTGCCCTTCTTCAAGATTTAGGGTCGGTCGGTGAAACCTCATGCTCAAATATCTCGCACATCGGGGTGACAAACGACACAGAGCCGCGAGTTCGCCAAACGATCATACCGCTAGATTTAGACGTCAAAGGGGAAACATTTTTTTTTTTCCCTTTTATTTCACTGATTCGAATGAAAACTTATTATTCTTAATTTTGTGATCAATTTTTTGTTTCATACTTTAAAATGAGGGAAAATTTTTGATTTATTATAATTTTCAAAGCAGACTAAAAATAACACAGGTTTACAGTGAAATTGTCAATCGAACAAAACATTTTTTTTTTTCGATTAATATATGTGTTTTTTGAGTAAGAAAATCATATTTTAAATTTTTTTCCCTCGTGCAATTTTTTTGTAATAGAAAATTATGCATTTTCGAGGTGTGACGTCACATAAAGTCACCGGTAGAGAAAGCAGTTAATCCAAATGTAAAAAATAAATCACCATTTGAAAGATAATTAAATTGCCTCTAAAATTATTGGTCAACTAATAAAATCCATTCAAAATTGTAAGAGTTACAGTCGATCAAAGTTCAAATTTCAAA